TCTAGGAAACAAAGCTGTTTCCTCCGGAAAAGCAACAAGTGCTCTTAGCCACTGAGACATTTCTCCGGCCCCATAAGCTCTTCCTTGATCACTTTAGAGTCAGCTTAGTAGGGTCTTTAACTAGGAGATTCCTTCATCTTTGCCATGTAGATAGTCATTAGAATGTTGGTTCACCACATTCACCAGCCCAGGTCACATCCAAGGAGGTGGAGTGTTTAGAACATGCACCATAGAGCATTAAAATTGTAGGCACCTTAGAATTCTACCTGTCATACCCTATATAACGTAGATTCAGGTCATGTCTCATATGGTCATTCTGAATACTCTAGCCACAGGGCAGGGTCCATGCCAGGAGCTAGGGAATCAAACAGTATTAACATAGACTCTGTTTTAGAAGAAATCATGAGCCAGGTGTGTCAATGCATGCCTGTCATCCAGCACTTGGTAGGTAGACAAAAGAGGGTCAGATGCTCCAGGCCAACCTCAGGGACATGGAGAGTTTGAGGCCAGCCTGGGTTACAATAACAAATTGTACTATTGAGTAAATAGTACAAATAGTAACTATTGTTACTATTGAGAGTAACAATAACAAAATTAAATTAAAACATTAAAAAAATGCAGTGTTTCTCTGGCATTAATAGCTTTCCCCTGATGCAAAAGTTGGCAAGAACCATTAAAGCTTTAATACAACCAAATGACTTTTTGATATTTAAAAAAAAATCAAAACAGTGTTTTCTTGTCATATGGGAGCCACTGTCAGAAATAAGAAGAGTTTGCACCAGTCAAATACTATAATCCATAGAGTTATCATCTCCACCCTCAAAAGCCCCTGGTCAGCTCCTAGCTTGCAATCAGAGTACCATCTAGTTGGCTGCCAGCGTCTGATTCTAACTGGGTAGTGTATGACCTCCTGCCGCCCGGCTGGAAATCACCTGGAGGCTTGTCCAAAGCACCACTCAGCCAAACTCAGGTGCAATGGGCATGGATGAACCTGGGCACTGGTCTTTTTGAAAGCTCCGTGAGAGGCTCCAACATACTGCCAGGACCGAGCGTTGCTACTCTAGCCAGCGGGAGTTCAGTACCCCTATCCTGAACACTAAAATCTCTAAAGGGTTGTGGAGATGGCTCAGCCCATAAAGAACTTGCCTTGGGAGAATGAAGACCCAAGTTCAATTCCCCCAGATCCCCCATAGAAGTGCAGAAAGTGCTAGGTGTGGTGGTGCACACTGGGACTCCCAGCACTGGGGAGGTGCAGACAGGAGGTTCTCTAACACTTGCCGACCAGCCAGCATAGCCTAACTGGTGAGCTCCAAGCAAATGAGAGACCCTGCCTCAAAGGTGATGGAGAACCAGAGGTGACGCACGGGAATGCCCTCTGGCCTCCATATACACGGGCATGGCAGCTTATGCAGGCACGTTAATGACTTTTTTTTTCTTGTAGCCTTACTACACAGTGAGGCAATTTCTCAAAAAAAAAAAAAAAAAGAGGTGGGGGTGCAGCCCAGTGGTAGAGTACTTGCCAAGTGTGTATTAGGGCCTGAGTTCAATATTTAGTGTTTTTTTTTTTTTTAAGAAGGAAAAGAATAGTTCAGTAGAAGGATATTTTTTCTTTAAAGAGCTCAGAGTTAAGCAGGGAGGTGCCTTTTCAGTGCCCAAAGAGAAGTATTTTCAGCACCAAGGACATGGGATTAATTTTGAGGTTATAAACAAATCTTTCAAAATTTTCCAGTTTTCTATGTCAGTGTGTGTTATCTCCGGGGTTTAATCACTTCCAGAGAATGGCCTCTCCGCATCTTTCCCTCATCCCTCCCCTTCCTCTGACCCCCCTAAAAATCATTACTAAAGAAGGAATTTTAAAATCACCCATATGTCCTGGTTATCTCACAGAAACAAAGAGCAACACGGCGTCCACCGCCTCCTCTGCCCCTTCATCCCTTCACTCAAAAGTACATCCCAATCTGGGAGGTCTTGACCCTGTTGCCTGCTGAAGGGAGAGTCCCTGAGTCCAAGCGATGCCAGTATCTACTGCCTAAGGAGGCTTCAGCAAAGCCCCTAGAGGCTGGATACCACTTTTAAGATAATGGTGAGCCAGTGGAAGACATTTTAGATGGAAAGCCATGTGTACTCAGGTACCTGGGGCTTAAGGGGGGAGTCCCTCCAGCCAAAGCACACACTTCTGCAAAGTCCCGAGAGGCAGCACAGGAGGCCAAGCTGCAGGAAGGAAAGCCGAGTTTCTGCTCAGACAACCCTCTTCATGGTCTTTACCCCATGTCCTCGTTTCCCAGACATTTATTTCGAATCCGTTAAATACCAGGGAGCCCACTAAACCATGGTGGCCCAACCATCACCTCACTCCCGCCGATGAAAATGTTCAGAGCTGGAGAGACGCCTGTCAACCAAGTGTGTGCTATGCAAGCGTGAGGACCTGTGCAATCCATGGCAGCATGCATCTAAAATCCCAACACGAGCAGGAGGAGAAGGATGGACTTTTGGAGTTCATAGGCCAGACAGCCTCGCCTAACAGGCAAGTCCCAGGCCAGTGAGAGATCCTGCCTAAACACAAAGGTAGACAGTACCCGAGCAAGAACCCCTAAGAGTGACCACCGTCCTCCCCATGTACCTGCACACTTGTGAACACCCAGGAACACAGACCCAAAGGAAAGGTAAAAGAAAAAGACTGCTGCCGGCATTCCAGAGCTGACCGTAGCCTCAAATGTTTTAGCAGACCCAGGAAGACCGATGCTGAGTCCTGTTTTTATACCTATACTTTGGCATCTAAGGGGAACTGCTCTGTTGAAGCTTGCTTTCTCTGATTTTGAATCCTTTGAGAAATGCAAGGCCTCCACTCAGCCTGTAGGGGGTGTCGAGGAAAGACATGGTACATAGTACCCCTGGCCAGTGAAGCACACGGCAGCCCTGGCCCTCTCCAGCAGCAGCTCCTTCCGTGGAGGAAAAGGAAATGAATGAGCAACAGCTGAGAGCAGGACTGGCCCACTAGAGGAAACATTGAGCGAAAATCTAAGGGATGAAGTGACCTTCCTCACCCATTGGTGCTCATGTGTGGGAGAACAGATAATCCCCTCCTTCGTCCTTTGGGGCTAAAATACATCTAGGAAATTCAAAGCTGGCCAGCATGAGAAGGGTTGAGTACGGATCATGACAATGAGAGCATTCACTTTGGGATTTAGCATCCTTGATTCCGTCTTTAATGTGAAGGAGCTGGGGCTGGAGAGAGGGCTCAGTAGGTAAAATGTTTGCTTCGAAAACAAGAGGACTGGAACCTGCATTCCCAGCGCTCATGTAAAAGGTCAGGAACAGCAGCATGCCTCTATAATCCCAGCACTGCAGAGGCAGAGACTAGTATATTCCTAGATGTTGCTGGCCAGCCACCCTAGCCTAATTGACGGATAGTACCTGAGGAATCACAGCCAAGGTAGTCCTCTATGCATATCCACACACACAGGCACCTGCGCGCGTGCACACACACACACACACACACACACACACACACACACACTATGTTAAGATCAAATATTTGTATCTACAAGAAAAGTCTTCTAGAAGCACAGCTATGTGCATGGATGTGTGTGTGTGTGTGTGTGTGTGTGTGTGTGTGTGTGTGTGCGCGCTCACATGAGCATGGGTGTAAAGACCAGTGCATCTTCATCAGTCACTCCTGACCTTATTTTGATAGAGTCTCTCACTGAACCCAGAGCTCACCCATATACCTAGTCTAGCTGGCTTGCGAGCCCCAAGAATCCCCCTGTCTCTGCCTCCCCATCCCTGGGATAACAGACCTTCACCACCACCACACCTGGCTTTTTAAATGCAGATTCTGGGATCAAACTTGGGTTCCTATGATTGCACAATGAACACATTTCCGACTGAACCAACTACCTAGGCCCAACCAAAGCTGTTTCTATGCTCCAATAGACATGCTGTGTAGCTGAAAATACAACAAAACAAAACAAAACAAAACAAAACAAAGCCATGTGGCCTACGAATCCTAAGGTGTTTACCATCTGGCCTTTGAGAAGAAGGTTTATCAGCATCTGGATTACAGTAGGAGAATTCTGCATCCATGCAGCACAGGGAAGGGTTTACACAATTGGCTCCTTAACTGACCTGATTGAACAACCATGCTTGAGCCCCAGTGATGTTCTCTATCCAAGTAACTCCCCCCTGAATCCACTCAGCTCACAGAACAGAACTGCAGCAGAGCAGCTTCCTGATGAGGCGCACTTTCAGAGCTTCCAGGCATCACCTAGGACTCACAGGGCACCCTTTGTTAGCCAGGATTCTCTAAAGGAACAGTACCTGCATTAAAGAGGGATTTATTAGCTTGGCTAAAGGACGTGGTCCTTTCCGTCCAACAATGGCTGCCTCACACTGGAGATGACAAGAGTGCAGAGGGTGTTCAGTCCGTGAGGCTGAATGCCTCAGCAGTCCCAACAGGGCGCTGAAGGCCTGGAAGGATCCCCGAAGAGCTGCTGGTCTTCTGTCTAAATCAGAATCCCAAAGAAGTTGGTTCTGATATCGATGAAAGAATGTCCCCAAACCAGCTAGGTGAACCTGACAGTGAGTGTGGGAGCAGGCAGGTAGTAAGCCGTTTCTTTCTACCGTGTCCATATGGACTGCCACCAGAGGCTGTCACCCACATTTAGGGTCAGTCTTTCTGTTTGAAATTATGTGATCAAGACAATCCCTCACCTTAGTGCCAACTGGCTAGTGATTTCGCATAGCTGGCAACAGAGATTGGCCGGCACACATCCCCACCACAGCTGCCATTCTCATTCTCGGCTCTTGGTGGATGGTGTGTTGTCCGTTCTTGCCATGCTCTTGTGGTCAGACACCACAGACTTAACCCCGCTCATGCTAGGAAAGAAGGAGGCACCAGATCAGGGATCCTGGAATACAGCCTTTCTCTTCCTGCTTATTTGAAACAGATTGGAAGCTGCCCACCCCCCTGGGACCTATAAATCCACCTCTGATCCCCTCAGGAGCGAGTGACAGCAAAGCCACAGGACGAAATCGTGGATCACCCTCTCCTACAGCAAAGAGTTTCCGAATGTACGACGTGAGTCCTCTCTCTTCTTACCCGTTGCAGACTGAGAAGATGTATCCCCACAGAAGGGTGAGCTGAGGAAAGGAGGAGCAGGGGCTTGGGGTGGGAGTGCATCAGGCAGGAGTGAGTGGTTTTGACTCACACCAGAATCCCCACCCCCACCCTGTCACCCACCCACCAGTGTGCGGGTGTGAAAATGAAGTGTAAGCATCACAAAAGAAAAATCTCTCCAGAGTGCACAGTTCTCTGAAGTTCCAGGAGGCATTTTCCACCCTGGGGTTCCTCGATTCTGCCTCCATGTCCTGAGTTGCTGCTGTTGCTGCTGCTGCTGCTGCTGCTGCTGCTGCTGCTGCTGTGTGTGTGTGTGTGTGTGTGTGTGTGTGTGTGTCTACTGCTTAAGGTCTTTACCTCTTGATGCCCCAGAAGCCCTCTTGTCCTTCCTGCCATTGATGGGTTAACTGTCTTTCCCAAAGGTAATAGGTACATTTCATTTTGTGGGAAACGTGTTTCTCTAACACTTCAAAATTATTTTGAATCTTTATCCCTAATACACACATACACACTCACACACACATATATACATATATATTCCAGAAATATATATATATAATAATACCTATTTTATATATTATATTTATATACATATATTTACATAATGTATCTATTTAGATAATATAGAAATATATAATATATATTTTAAAAAATTCAAATACAATTACTCACCTGGTTGACAAATTTCTGTGGGGAACTTGTTACCCGATGAGTAAGCCATGTATATAGGTGGGTAAAACACAGGTCCTGCTCACAAGGACCTTATGGTCTGATTGGAACAGATTCAAACAGAGAGACATTAGCGGTATCACACCGTAACAGACCCTTCGAGAGAGTGCTGTAAGAGTCCTGAGGCAAGCTAACTCAGTTAAGAGTTCAGAATCATTTCCCAGCAGAGGCGATAGGAATACAAAATCAGGGCCTTAGAAGATGGGATTGGTGGGGAGGAGTAAGGGAAAGGCAAGAGAACAATGGAAGCTAAGGATGGGTAGGATGTCATCAGAAAAGATGTAAACTTGGGTCCTGTACTAAAAATACAACGATGGTGAATGATGGTGGCAATGAGGGTGACGATGGTGGTAACAGGGTGTTGGTGGTGCTGGTAGTGATGAGGATGATGGTGATGGTGGTGATGGTGAGTCTTCTAAAGAAAGTCAACATGACAAGTTGGGGGAAACAGCAGAGCTGGAGGTGGTGAGAGACGGAAGGCTCACTCATTTTTCACTGCGGAGAGAGCTCTGCAAGAGGTCAGCTCTCATCAGGGCTGACGAGGTTGATCTCTGTCCGTTGTCAACAAGCGGGTAAACCCTGAGAACATCCTTCCTTTGAAAGAGTCTCTACCCCGAAGCCACATGTAGACACTTAAATCTGATGCTGGAGAAGGAGACGGGACCTAGAGAAGTCCCTTTCACCTGCGTCTCAGTTTCCCCATCCAGGAAGGAAGAAGGCTTGATCTCTGAGGTCCTATTGGCCTCTGATGTTTGTCTGCTCCTGTGTCCTGCTTCCAGGGTGGCTATCTCACTCGCCATACACTGTCTTTTTTTTTTTTTTTTTTTTTTTTTTGGTCAGTGCTGGAAGAAACAAAACATGGTCTTAGTTTCTGCCATGTGGGAGACAGGATGTGGTTTAACTCCCTCCCTGGAACCAAGTTCCTGCGGTGAGTCCAGCCTCCCATTCCCCAGCACACCCTCACCCTGTCAGATGCCTAGTTGGAAGGAGGGGGACATTCAGCTGCCAGCAGCACAAAGCCATCAGCCACCAATCTCAGTTACTGGCCATATCCCTGGCTTTGTGGAAACAAAAAGAATTCAAGATGTGGATAAAGATAGTTTCTGAGATTCCTCCATTTACAAGGGAGCCAAGTGTTCCTGGGAAAAGTCTCCCAGTGAGGAGATACTCCCCCACTGGCTGCCTGTGGACAGATCAAGAAGAGGTATTAATTGCATAAGGGAAACTCCCGTTGTTCCAGAAGAATTTGGGAACTGTTGATAGTCCAAATGGGTAAGGCAAGAAGAGAGAATTGAGATGAGGTTAATATAGCCAGAAACTAGAAAAAACATGGAGGCAAAGCATATGAGTAATTTTTTTTAATTACTGTGGCAAAATAGCTGGTACAATGAAGTTGTGGGGGAAGGGTGTTATGTTGGCTCACAGTTCAGGGTATAGTCTACTATGGGGAGGAAAGCCTGGTTGCAAAAGTATGAAGCAATGTTGCTTCTTTGATACCTTTGTTTTTTATTCAGTCCAGGATCCCAGCCCACAGAACAATATCAGATTTAGGGTGGGTCTTCCCACTCCATCTAATGTAGAAAATGGCCCACAGGTTCCCTAGTAAGGGGAACAGGGGCTGTCTCTGACATGAACTCAGTGGCTGGCTCTTTGATCACCCCCCCCCCGAGGGGGGAGCATCCTTACCAGGCCACTGAGGAAGACAATGCAGCCAGTCCTGATGAGACCTGATAGGCTAGTGTCAGAGGGAAGGGGAGGAGGACCTCCCCTATCAGTGGACTGGGGGAGGGGCATAGAAGAAGAGGGAGGGAGGGCAGGATTGGGAGGGGATGAGGGACAGGGCTACAACTGGGATACAAAGTCAATAAATTGTAATTAGTAAATAATAATAATAATAATAATTAAAAAAAAGAAAATGGCCCACAGATATGCCCAGGGTTTGTTGGCATGGTGATGCAGTACCAGGACTGCACAGCCATGTGACTGCATATCCAGCTTTTTACTTGAGTGCTGGGTATCCAAACTCAGAGCCTCACGCAGGCACAGCAAACACTTTACTGTAAAACTGAGCCCAGTATGTCACTTTTCATCTAGTTATGCCACATCAAGAGTTGGGGTAAAGAACGCTGATAATAGTCCTCATGGAGCTGGGTGAAGAGTCAAGGTCCCATAGCAAATTGGTACAGTTTGCGATGGAGCTCAGTCAGTGCTCCCGGTGCACGGCACCAGACTCCTGGCAGCAAGTGGAGGGCATGGCTCTTTTCTCCATCTCTCAAGTCAGCAGAAGGCAAAAGTCCATCTCATCCACAAGGGCACGAACAAGAGCCGCCTGCTGTAGGGTGCAGCTCGCCTTACGACGTGTCCATGGTAACTTGTTCTTTGCAGGCTAGGATGGCCCGTCTGCCCCAGCAGGGTCCTTTCCGGCACCTTCTGGACATGAAGACAGAGAAGAGACTGGCAGGCTGGAAGGAACGGCGCAGCCGCTTTGGTGACATCAGCGTGCACAAGTGCTATCCGTTTGGGCAGCTCTTCTCTCCTTTCCAGGCTCTGGCTACCACGGTGAGTTTCAGATTAAGTCATTGCTGGGGGGGGGGGGCGCCTGTGCCAAACCTCAGTGGGTCCTTTGTTCTTTTCAGGAGTGTGTTAGTCAGTTCTGACCCCAGTAATGCTGAATAACAAAGACTTACAACTAAACCCCAGAGCTCAGTATCTTAGCATGGCAAGCGTCTGTTCTCCTGAGAAATCTGCTCCTTCTGCTTTTGCTCACCGCCAACTCACAGAACGAGGGGGGGGGGTGAAGAGTCGAGACTCATCCTCCCATCCACTACTACATCAGCCTCTCACATCGTGGGGAACAATGACCTGTCAGAGAAGTCCAGGGGAAGATTAGAAGGCAGTGGCTGCAGCTTTGATGTTCAGAGAGGAGATAATTTCAAGGAAAGAAATAGACTGGGAAGGGGGGGGGGCAGTTATACATTCCTGTGGTCCAAAAATTTGAGTGTGTGTCCTTGCACTATTTGAACAGACTGATTAAAATGTAGATTCCAGGGGCTATAAAGATGACTCACTGGGCTGTGAAAGCATGAGGGCCTGAGTTTAAATTCCCAAGCATCTGCATAAAAAAGCTGCATAAAAAAGGCCCCACCATGCCTCTAACTCTAGCATTATTGGCAGGAAGGGGAAGAAACTGGAGGATCTCTGGAGCTTAGTGAATATCAGTCTAGCTATGGGTTCAATGAGAGACTTTGTCTCAAGAGAATAATGCAGCAGGACATCTACCACCCTCTTCCGGCTTCCGTGTACCCATGGATGCACACACACACACTCACACAGACACAGACACACACACACACAGGGTCTTGATGCAGAACAAGTCCCTAGAAATGGATGCCTTCCCTGTGGGAAGAGACTACCTCTGCTGTGCTAGAAGGAACATTGCCTGCCTGTTAAGTTCTTACATGTCATGTGGTAGTGACTTTTCTATTGCTGTGATGAACATGCTTTGACAAAACACAGCATAAGGAAGAAAGGGTTTCTTTGGGGCTTACGGCTCCAGAGGGCAGAGGCCATGTTGGCAGGGATGCCGCAGCATGGTGGCCACAGGAAACTGGCTGGGGACATTTTTCCACACACAGGGAGCAGAAAGAGAGAACAGGAAGTGGAGTGAGGCCATAAACTCTCAGAGTCCACCCTCCCCCCTCAAGTGATGTACTTCTCCCCCTCGGAACAGTTCCACAGCCTCCCCAAACTGCACCACTAAGAGTGTTCAAATACATGAGCCCATTGAGGCCATTTCTCACTCAAACTACCACCCAGGTGAGGCACTGAAACTCAGTTTCTCATGCACTCTGACAAATGAGCATCATGCTCACTCTCCACAAATGACATTTAGGTAGAAAAACAGTCTGCGGCTGTTAGTATTCCGTAGCAAGGTCAGGGTTTGAACCTGGGGAGTTTCAACAGGGCAATCCCATTAGCAGCTCCCTTTGGTGATGTCAACCCCAGTGCTCTCAACCCCCATGCTTTCTCTCATCCTGATTCCTCTCCCCTTGTAGGAAATGCGAAAGCTGGTATTGCCTCGAGACCTACCCATGAGTTCTCATACGCAGAGAATAAGTTCTTCATCCCTCAGTGACATGAATCTCCAGGATTTACCCCTGTCTCCCAAAGAGCTGAGCTTGGGAAAGAATGACAACCGTCAAGAAAAAGAGAAACCAGTGAGCCATATTAAAACGCCTTTATTCCCCCCCATAGTTAAGGCAACAAAATATAATGACATGAAATAAAATTGCAAAACTGCATTGTGGTCCTTCGCTGCAAGGTTTTACTTGATAACAACTGGCATCCAGGGATCCGAGACTGTTGAGCCAGCCTCACCTACGACAGTGTTTAGAAACGATCGTACCATGTCCTGTGTGGAAAGTGTAAAAGGCACAAACAGACCCAGCTTTCCTCAGAAGCTTGAAAAGTAAGGGGAGGAGAAGGCTGCCATTCCATGCCCCAAGTCCTGTTATTTCCACCATCTGCTATCCCTAGGATATCAGATGCGGGTTTAGTTTCTCACAATGTAGCTGATCACAGAGTGTATTGAATACTGTACTTATGCTATGAGAGAGAGAGAAAGAAGAGAAAGAGAGCCTGTTCTTCCTCAGTTCATAGAAAGTTCTTCCTTGGCTGGGATGGGATGGCTCATCTCTACCCTAACTACAAAGGAAGCTAATGAAAATCACATTGGGAATGTATTGGGAGACGAGATCTAGTATCATGGAAAGAAGGGAACATGGCTGATGGGAAAGCAATTGAGATCTGGGACATTCAGTGGTTTATAAATCAGACCGTTATAAAGAGAGATGTCTGTTTAAGCTGAATGAAAACAAGCCTTTGAGGATTTATAAACACCAAAACTAACACTGTTCTCCTAAATGAACTCTTCCACTCTAAATGGCTTCTGTTTCCTTTGAATGTTTAAAAGTGACCTATGTTCATAATAAAAACAATGCAAAAGTATTTTTAAGAGTAATTACCATGAATTTCAATATTTGGAGACAGTGTGTGCTTGAACCTAGAAATTTTAGATCACCTGTCAATGCCTTATCCTCACTGACAAAACTAAGGCTGTGCTTGAGCCAAGGTCTGTTTCCATGGTTTATACTGAGTTGTCTTATGGCATCATTAACCATCATTTCTCAAAGGGTCACCAGGTTCTGGATCATCGGTTTCACTTCTGGGTAATCAGTAAAACTACTAGACCACATGGACACAAAAGCAAATACCTTACCTCAAAAAGAGAGAGAAAATAAGAGAGAAAGAAATAGTTTTAGAAACTAATATGAGAAACTATAGCCAAGAAACACAAATTCACATTACCACAAATTTTATACTCCAATCGGTAACAATTTGGAAATAGTAAATGAGGGCTATTTCAAATCCATTTTTGAGAGGTCGTGTAGGCAGCTTAAAGCAAAATGAAGAAATCTGCTAAAGGCCACAGATGCCATCTGACAGCATTCTCAGCCTCTCTGTTGGGAGGCTTGTGTTCTCTTAATAAATTCCAACAGGTTTAACTTGCCAGTCACAAGGATGTTAGGTCAGAGAGGTGGGCAAAAAAAGAAAAAGAGGACAGAAAAAAAAAAAAAAAAAAAAAAAAAAAAAAATGCTACCAAGGGGCTAAAGATAGCCCAAGAAAAATTGTAATTAGCTCTAGACTACATCATTGCAACCTTTCAGAATCATTGACGTCCTGATCTATTAAGGAGCCTTGTAGAAGTCTCAATGGAATGTGTGGTTCTTGAAGAGGCCTGGGAGTCAGCACAGAACACATCCAGAGACCAAATTCTCAGAACAGAGGGGATTTATTACCGTGGAGGGATGGGGGTGGGGAGGAGGAGTGGCCTGCCTCTGGATCAGACAAAGACCTGGTAGTCAGTGTAGCTAAATAATGAATTTCAATTGCTGGACCTTGATGTCTTGATAGCTAGATCTTGGAGTTTTAGTCAGGCATAAGGAAGTGGCCGAACGAACTAGACCTTGGTGGTTAGCTTTAGGGCTGAAAAGCTTTAGGAATCTAACACACAGAAAGAGAGAGAGCACTATGATGTGTTTATTTCTGAATCACATGAGGTGGAGGACACCACAGTCCCCTCCTTTTTTACATACCCACATACCCACACAATATATAGTTCCTTTACAGCTCTGTGGATTCATGTGTCTTCTTGCTTTACTTCTCAAAAGCATCATCAACAGGCATGTGTGTGTGTTTCTCATTCCCGCCTAAGGGTTTATAAACAAGAATGCACAGCTTTTTATAAATAAAGTTTTAGAGCACAGACCTACCCATTCGTTAACACATTGTCTATTGGTGTGACGGGGCTACTCCTCACGTAACTAGATGCCAGGAAGACTCCATGGCTCATAGCCAAAAATACTGACTCTCTCACCCTTTCTAGAGGCTTGCCACATTGTCCTAAGGCAAGCTACTCTCTGCAGTTTCTACGCATCTTAGCTCTGAATTTTAAAATTAGAATGAAAATATGTCATTTACACTCAGTTTAGCCTATTTTTACCTCCCTTAAGTGTAAGTCCTAACTGTGTCCATCTAAGCTTCCTATGTACAAGTATGAAGTCAAGAGCCACTAATACCAACATGAGCTGAACACTTCCCTTATTCTAAGTGTATTGATTCACCTAATTCTGTAACCATGCTATGAACGAGGGGATAGCATTATCCCCACTTTACGGAGGAGAGAGCAAAGGTCAGCAACATAAAGCACATAGCCAGTAAGTAGCAGACCCAGCTGCCGGACCTACAAGGCTTGGTGCCACCCCTGGATACCCAGCACTTTGCTGTCCAGCATGCCCTGTGGAGGCGTCCTTTCTCCTTGTGTTCCCAGCCAGTCCCTCCCTCCTGACTGAAGCCTCAAACAGAAGCCTTCTGTGTTTCCTCCTCTACCCGCTCAGAGATCACACTGTTGGCAAAAGAAGCCAAGAGTTTATCCCGGTCTTTCCTAGAAGGGCCCAGAGTGGACATCCGCTGAGAATGTCCCAGCCGAGGCCTTATTTCCCTGCCTGCAGGCAACTTAGCTTGGCCTCTGTACAAAGAAACCATTCTGCACATTCTGTGTGAGACCCGGCTGCTGGTGTGAAGTCCTCTACCTGCTTAAGAGAAGAGTAATTTCCCACACGTAGTTCTGCCCCATGTAGGAATCGGGGGTGGGGGAGTATTCACTTCAGCGGGGCTTACTTGTATGATTTCTTTTAAACAAAGTGTAGCCCTCTACCCAGAAGCCAAGATGACTTAAAGCTCTGAACAATTGTAATGGAATGAAACAAAAACATGAGAGACACAGGATAGATTTCCAACACTTTGACCATATGCCCAAGGCCGAAAAGAATTGTCGGTTTCCTTCACAATTGCCAATGAGTCTATTTTACTATTTTTAGACAGCACAAATTGGACTCGATGGGTTGTTGTAATCTTGTAAGAGGACTTAAAATTGAAAGAGTGTGAAAAGGTGGGGGTGGGCCTGGGAGGAAGTAGGAGGGAGAGTGGGAGATAATATTATTAAAAGACATCTTATGTACATGTGAAATTCTCAGAGTTCACAAAATATGTGTCCAAGGGGTTAAGAGGGTAACCTTTATGTTATATTTGGGTTATAATTTTAAGTTCTGCTGTGAGATTGTGCCCTCTAGCTATGACAGGCAAGCTATACTCACGATAACTCAACAGCATAGCTACCTGAACAATTCCGATGCCAGCTGCCATCCTAATGTGGATGCAGAAAATATCACAGGGTCCTACTCTTAGATGAATAGCTAGAGGCAATTAGCAATTTCCAAGAGGTGAAGAATTGGTCTTCCCTAAGGATGAGCCTCTTAATTGGTTACTCAATACAAAGCAGTCAGCTCTAGAAACGTATACATGCAAGCAACATCGAGCAGGCTGAAGCTGTTTATTTGTATACATGTGTATGTAACAGCAATGGTTAAAGAAGAGGAGGCAGTGAATTTCGGAGCAGGTGCAGATATGAGTGGAGAAACGGGAGGAGGAAAGGAAAGGGAGAGGAAAATTATGTAATTCTATTTCTAAGGTTTTTTTTTAACTAAAAATACATAACAAAAATAAATTGAAAGCAAGATGAGTCATGGAACACACAATGAAGTGGGGCCAAGGAGGCTAGACCAGGAATTGATGAAATGAGGAAAATTAACTCCAGATAAGGAAGAATGTGGTCAGAGGTCAAGATAAAGATGCCACCCATTATCCACAGGACAGCAGGAGCCCAGGGGAAGACTTTAAGCACGGGGGATGGGGGGCATGGTGGGGTTCTGCCTATCAAAAGAAGGGCACTAACTTAGCTCTCTAACCTAAATGTTCACCAGCAAATGGACAGAAATAAGGTGGTGTTATATACATACCTCAAGTGTTTTTCAGCCATAAAGAAAAAGGCTCTAACAGAAGATGGTTATGCAAATTAAGTCAGTCTCCAGAAGACTGATATCACATGCTTTCTCTCATTTGCGCATCCACATTTAGGGATGAAAAGTCTGTCCGAGGAACAAAGGGGACTAACAGAAAGGATGAGAAGAGGGGAGGGCTATGGTGCCCAAAGTACAATTATTTACTTGGAGGAAAATGGGCTTATGTAACCTTGTATGATAAAGTAAAGAACGACCCTAACATATCTCGTGGAATGTGAGCGCACTGGAGACAAGAGCTCCCTGTTAGTGTGCCAATGCTATGGGGAGAGGGCAAGATGTCAGAGACAGGTTTAGACAAACTTGTCCTGCCGGATGTTGGAGTGGCTAGCACCGGTAGCATTAAAAATGTTTCTGAACTGGCTTCTGGCTTAAGCAAAGGGGTGGATGTTGGGAGTGCTGTTGCTGTGGGTTGTTGGCCTTCCTGATTGGGTGGGACTGTCCGGGAAACTCACAACTTCGAGGGCTGGGAAGGTAGCCCAGCTCTGAGGTGGGACAATTGTCCCAAGGGTATCCTGAGACATGGGAACCCAGGAACCACACAGACAGAAGTTGCAGGAAGCCTGTACTTTTACCATTTAATCAATACAGGTGTTTTCAGGTCAGGCTTGCCCTGGATAACCAAGCCTGGCTCTCAGGCAGCCACATAGTTTAGAAGCCAAACAAAACAGAGAAGAAAAAGCAGCCTTGTTCACAGTTGGGCCTTTGTTTTGTTTTGTTCCTATTTCTTGCTGACTAGCACTAAACACTGCCATATGTTCAGAAAATGTCTAACGTTTGCATATTTGAGGATTGTTTCTTCTTTCTT